TTACGAATACTCACACATATATATATATATATATATACATATTATCTTGCGCGTTTAAACTGTTTAAAAAATAATAAAAAGAAAGGGAAAGGACCATTTTCAAGGGCCGCCACTGTAGAGTGTATAGATATAGATACAGCTGCAGATAGATACTTTCACACAGACAGACCATTGAGCAGCAAAACACCACCGCGCTTTTTTTTTCCTCTCCTATAAGAATAATAAGTAACCATCGAGTTGCCCTTGTTGCTAAATTCAGCGGTAGCGTGAAAATGGCCCTTAAGAGTCGGAGCCACGGAAAGGCGAAGAGCGAGAAGAATAAGATAAGAGAGTCAAGAAACTCGTTTTTTTCAGGAGAAAAAGCTTAAAATAATACCCAAGTGCCGTGCCCTATATCTAAGTATCGGGGAGTAAATAAGTATAAGTATACTTAAGTGGAACCGAGTTCGGAGACTCCGGATCTCGTCGTCGAAGCGAGAAGTTATATATGTATATATAACCTACTTGATAGCGCAGTAGTATACTAGTAGCCAGCCGGCCCAGCGTGCGTGCAGTTTAATCAGTGTGTGTGTCGGGTCGAGGTGTGCAGAAAAATCAGATACCTAACTACCTCTTCCAAGTATTAGGATTACTTATCTGCAGGGAAAATCAGTGTAATAGAGCAGAATAAGTAAATTCTGCCGTCGCCCTGGAGAAGGAGAAACAGGCCAAAGGTTGCCTCTGCCGTTGGCGCCTGCAGCAGTGCGGCGTGGAGTGAACTGTCATTGTCGCAGCCGCGGGAGTCCGTCGTCTATACACCTAGCCTCTTTCTCTCCCTTCGCTGCTGCTGCTGCACATTCCAAAGTTACGAATACTACCCACGTATAAAGTGGACGGGAAAGACCAGAATAGTCGTCGTCGTTAGTTAAATACATAAGAGCAGCAGCAGCAGAAACAGCAACGAAAGACCGTTTCGTATCACGGATAATATAATAATCATGGCGAACAGCGTAGCACCAGACTCGTGGGAACAGCAGGCAGACTTGGACGCCGGTATCGACGCCAAATCCGTCGAGAGCAAGTTCTCCACGTTGAACGTCAACGCGGCCGAGTTCGTGCCTTCGTTCTGTTTGAACCCTTCTCCGACGCCGCCGCCGCCGCCGCCGACTCAGCAGCAACCGGTGCCAGCTGCATCTACAACACCACCACCATCACCGTCACCACCTACACAGCCACCACCAGCAGCAGATGATGTTGTTCAGGTACGACCGTTGAACGATCAGCCGCCGCAGACTAACGCGTCGACGACGCCGGAGAACCGCAGCAGCCCGGACTCGCCCTCGTCGCCGGCCAAATCAACAAGCATGCCGCTAGAGACTCATCACGGTTAGTTCAATTGTTGGTTAATCACCACCTATCGCTTTCCTTACCGGACTATACTTACTTTATGGGTATCTATTTATTATTTATCTGTTGAAAGGTGGGAGTATTTTTATTTCCTTCCTCTCAAGTTTCAAGTCGTTGCATAAATACGCTTAAAGAATCAAACGTGATTTCTTACACGCACCGTGGTAGTGTGTACACGTAAGTAGGTATATGCAGCTCATGAGGTGGTTAACTCTTCGCGTGGTCGAAACGTTTCACTCTAGTATACCTACTTTACTCTTTCTTTTTTTTTTTATTCGTGTAGTAGATAAGTGCGGGTATCGGCTGGTGAAAGGGTAATAACACGTTGCCTAGTCGAGGTCGAGACTATTTACATTATTATAAACTCGCCTACCTGCATTTGCATGCGTATAGTATACTTAAATATAACATTAGTTGAGTTGTGGGAGCAGGTGCTCTATGGCTGTTGTACCGCTGTAAGAGTAAGAGATCGGCACGGCCACGCTGGAACTCGACGGGGTTAAGTTTACCCAATCGTCGCGTGTTTACCTCGGTATACCTATCAATAATAATAATATCCATATCGTGATCAAAAATCTGCAAGTGAATTTCTGTGGCCACGACGTTCGCGACGACGATGTGTAAGTTTGAAAGGAAGGAGCCAAATTTTTGGGTGCAGGTAGAGCTCGAGGAGATTCGCTGCTCTCGTCCTAATGAATTTACTATCTTCGATGTGAGTCTGGGCAATTGTTTAGCGTGACTCGAAATTTCGGAGCAAGAGGTGGTGGTTAATTGCGTACATAGGTATTGTATTACACCTGCGTAGGTGGATATAGGATCTAGAGAATGCCTAGGTTTGTTGTATTGTGTGCACATAAGTGTAGTAGTATTATTAAAATGTAGTCGTAATAATCTAGGTAGGCGATATGTAAGTAGGCAGGCCTCCTTCTGAGAGGAGGTAAGGTCTTATTATTTTACGTAGGATTGGCGCGCGTGCATGCGGTTCCGTTTGCCTCCTGATGTGTCGCGCGCGCCGCCCCCTTATAAGGTGTAACGATACCTACATAGGTAGCACCTATATATAAAGTACATACACCAATTATCACTTGGTTGTGCTACCGCAGACGACGACGAGCCAGCGACCATTATTTATATACCTACTTACGTGTGCCAATTTCTCTCTCTCTCTCTTTTTTTTTTTTTTTTTTTTTTTCTTATTTTGCACGCTCTTCGACTCTCGCTGCTGCTGGTGCACCTCCCCCCCCCCTCCCTATATACACTATACCAGGTTTCTTCACATTTTTTTTTCACAAGTTAACCGGAGAATTCGAGTTTATTCTTGTTAATGTTATCTATTTAGTTGAGCGTGAGCCCCTCTTCCCCACTGATCACTCAGTCAGTCTGGTAATGAGAATGCCAGCAGCACGTACGTTGTTTGTGTTACTTGTTTTTATATTTTATTTTCTCTGTGATATGTTTTTTAATAATATATTAGTTCTATCTTTTAATTCTTCATTTGATTTTTTCAAGATCAATCATTCTTAATTTAGATCTACATTATCGATTCCATCCTTTTTTTTTTTTTAATTTTACATGAATAAAAGAATAAATTCATATAAATTTCGATGTTGTACACGTTCCTCATGAAAATCAAGCTTTAAACTAAAAATTTATACTATACAATTTATAACAATTTTCAAGACTGTGTGTTTAATATGTATATTTTTTTTACAAATAGTTTTAATTTTCTTGAGAACTTACTCCATGCACCCTTGAAATTTAATTAAATTTTCTGCGGCCTCTCTGGCACTTGTCCAGTTCATTAGGGGTGGGCTGGTCACACACACACACACACACACACACACACACACACACACATATATATATAGGATTANCTTTTTTTTTTTTTTTTTTTTGATAATTTAATTATAAGCGCGTTATTTTTTTCACATTTACAACGCTATTTGTATCAGAGCTAACGTAATTTAGATTACATTATTATATACTTAACTAAGTATTTTTCTTATTTTTCAAGTTATGGGATTAAATTATCATTTGTTTCATTTTTGTTTTATAACACTTTTTTAAAAATTATTGTTAACTCGTCAGGTAAATTATAAATAGAATAATTATAAGTATTACATTGCCAATTGAAAAGTTCTTCACTAGGTAGTAGAATTGAGATTATGATCGAATAAATTGACTTACATGTGTGCTACATAGGCGTAAACATGTATTTGTTAAGATTTTTTTATTTTCTCTCGGCTTAGGATTTCTTCTCTTCATTCATTCAACTGCCTCTCTTGCATCCAGCATCATGACGCAGTGCGACGGAAACAACATGATCACCGTCTCCGGGTCTCCCACTCTCCCTCCCTCGATCTGCCGCAAGATATATAGTTATAGTAACGTAATTACGCATGACGTTCGCGTTCAGTCATCAACCAGAGACAAGTATAAAAAAAATATTGACGGGTACGGTACCTAGAACTTGTAATTAGGTATAGTTATACTGACAATGTTTTTAAAGTGCTTTGCCAGTATTCGCATTGGCCACCGCCAAGTCCGCCAACTCCAACATTCTTTTGACTGCAATGTCTCGTGTGCGATAGTGTGCTAACAACTGTTTTTTTGTTGTTTTTTTGTGTTGTTGGTGTACTTAATATTTTACACGATATGTACAGGTGCAAAGTAATAACAAAAGAGCGGTTTTACCGAATAAATAGATGATTAATACAGTGAAAAATGCAATTAGATTCTATAGCTTGCTTCTTAGCGTCAACCGCTTTGGCCTTTGGTCTATTTGCAGCTGCATTTGACAGGTTAGTTTCTCCGCCCTTATGTTGTCATCATATTAATAGTACCTAATGTACATGTATATTATGTTTAAGTAAGTGCAATCATTTGTTTTATCTGTTAAGTAAATGTCCTAATCCCTGTCAGTCAGACTTAACAAAATACACTTGAAAGTAGTAACAGGCACAGTATTTCGTAAATTGTCTCTTGTAATACTTATCTCTATGTTTTTACCACACATATTGACAACAATTATTCATAAAAATGGTATGGTTGGAATCAAAACAGTGATTGTGGTATTACTTTATAAGCTATTAGTGAAAATTGTTTCATTCGAAGCATTCACATCTTTTTTTTAAACTGCTGATAGTTTCTTTTGGGCGTTGTTCCTTTGCTGTCTCTACGTTGCCGGGCTGCTCTGGGGAGGCCAGTTGATCTGCTTGATCACAAAAACGTTGGCAAATGATAATCCAAACGGGATCGAGGTGACTGATAATGCTGTTGCTGCTACCACTATAACTGCTAAGGCTACCGCAAACTCTTGTGGCGTTTGCGGTAATGATCAGTGTAAAAGACACCGTCGGCCACCACATTACAATCCTGTTCCCAAGGTTCCCAAAGGATTTGATAGTGCTTTGGAAAATGTGAGTTGAGAATTTTTCCAGTCACCACGAGTCATAGTAATATTTAACAACCTTGTTGTTCTTATATACTACCAATGACGAATATTGTGTGATATCTCCATATGATAACTGAAATTGTGTGCTGTATCGATACTCAAAAGGATTCTATTTTTTTTAGCTCTTGGAAGAAATTTTAAAAACATACGTTTGCACGTGGTACTCGGATTTGTCGTCAAATGATGCCTTTGTTCAACAATTAAGATTAGCAATAGCAACAGCAGCTACGAACGTTACCAACAGATTATTCAAGTGTGATCTCTCACACATTATATTCAATCACCTCATACCTTTGGGTGTTCATCATGCTCGCGATTGGCGAGAGTTGAAAAAAAGAGCCAAAGATTTGGGTGGCAACCCCACGGATCACATTCCAGATTATTTAGGTTCAAAAATACATCCGGCTGCTTACTCCAGGGAAGCAGAACTAAATTATCTCAGAGGCATAGTTGCCACTCTTTTACCACACCTGTTGCCTATCACGCATGTCAACACCAATAACCAAGCAAGATGATTAATGAGTATTATAATTCAGTATAAGACATAATATTTATTACAACACTTTATTTTGACACTAGGTTATACTTCGGGAAGTTCTTGCCAATTGGGTTTTACTACCAGCCATCGATGCTCTAGCTGATCCAGACAATTTAAACATGTTGATATCTCTCTGCACTCATATAGATGGAAAATTTTCTCAATCGACAGATACCATCTACGTTCCCATGTTACACACTTGGATTTCCAATCCTCAGTTACCCCAAGGTATATCAAATACCTTGAAACCATCTTTGGAACAAGTATTAAACGATCCACAATTGCTGTACATGTTTATGCAACACATCAAAGATTCTGGATTGGTGAATTTATTGCAATTTTGTCTGGACATTGGTAAAATACTATTTTATCTGTTCAATCACTTTAAACATCATTGTTATTTATAATAATACCTTGTTTTCAGATGATTTAAGCAAACGCATGTTAAATCCCGAAATCACGCCGGAACTCGAAAAAACTTTATATGCAGATGCTCGAAGTATATACTCAACTTATCTTGACTCGGAAAGTCCAGATTTTTTAAATTTACCGATGTATATTGCTCAAGGCATGAAAGAAAGTGAGTAAATTATTATTTTTGAGAGTAATTTTGCTTTCTTGTAGTTAATTTGTACTTATGTTTCATAAAAAAGTCCTAGATCTTGGACCGAAAAATATTCAAGAACTAAGGACTTCTCGACCTTTATATGAAGCACATCAAGAGGCTCATACACTACTAGAAAATACGTGGCTCCCTTCTTTTCACCACACATATCAAGTACTAAATTATTTATTATTATCGTTATTGTTATCAATTAAAAAATTTATGTTCAAAGCCTACACACTACAAAGGTAAATTTCATTTTCCAGATTTATAAGTTTTTATGTGGTGAACCGGTTATAAATACTACTGTAAAAACCAATTCTCATAACAGGTGAACGTTAAATTATCTTGTTTGAAATTAACAGCATGTCAATTTGAATACATCATACGTTTGTATTATCTTTATAATAATTTCGTCGCCTTTCAGTAATGCCAGTAACAGCACAGGCGGTGGTTTTCGCTTAAAAAGTCAGCTCAGTAAAATCCGAGGTGTGCTCAAAGCTTCGGCAGTTGAGGGTGCGCCCTTCGTTCCGCACCAAGTTTTCCAAGCCGAGGAGGTGAATTGTATGCCGCGAACCGGTGTCGCTCAGTCGACATCCTCGTCGACCTCATCGACTGAGCGTGATCTCAGCACTTGGCGAGTCAGTGTACCCCACGTCGATGGTGGCGGTGCTCAGCCCCTCTACATGGTCTCTGTGCACAGCGTGTCCGAAGACAGGTCCTGGACCGTACTGCGTCGCGATCAGGACTTTTACGCGCTGCGGGCTAGACTCTCCGAGTTTCATGGAGATAAGGAGCTTAATGACTCACCACTGCCTACAAGAAAGAATCCTCATCCATCGTTGACGGCAAACAGGCAAGAAATTTAAAATCCATTTATCACATCATTATTTATTATTATTTTTTTTTTTTTTTTTTAATAAAATCTCATCTTATTTTACCATTTTTTTTCAAGAATAATGATTCAGAAACTTAAAATCTCATTAAAGTAAAAGAAATTAAAAAAAATGTATGTGCATTTAATAACGAGTACAGAAAGTACCCTTTTCATATTAACTCAGCTAACGTAGAGTATGTCAAATTGCGTTAGAAAGAAAATGTCTGCGCAAATTTCCAGGCAAAGGTACCAGGACTTTTTGCAGAAACTGCTTTCAAAGCCGACTTTGAGGAGCAGCGAGCTGCTGCACGCATTTCTCACCGTGCCAAATCTGAAGCCTTACTTTTCGAATGCTAGCAGTACACCGGACATTGGTGTCTTGTGCCAGAGCATGGCGCACAAGCTGAGGAAAGAACGGGGTCAACATCTTGACAAATTCATGAGCACATTTCTGTCTTCGACAAACGCCAAGTCCGATCAGCCGGACGTCGGTGTCGAACTGGCAGGTGATCACAATTTTCACGAAAGCCAAAAGAAGGGACGAGACCTGATTAAAATAGGGCCCTTTGGAAATAATTTGAATTTAGATCCAAGGATTCAGAATTTTTCCCACATTGTAAATAAATTGCAGCATACCAAGGGTGCTTGCTTTTGTATAGCTGAAGCATGTAAGTTGATTTTTAATTCTACATGTGGATTTGTTATTTGGAAAAAATTCTTGTTTTTTTTTTTTTTTTTTTTTTTTTTTTTTTTTTTTTTTTACTTTTATAGACGGCAGTTGTAGTGGACCAGCTGTGGTCCGATGACGAAGAAGTCACGTCCGTTGGTCCCGGAGAAAATGTAAAAATTAAGTTGAAAGGTATCGAGGAAGAAGATGTTAGTCCCGGTTTTGTACTTTGCGACGGTAGTAATCCTATAAAGACGGGCAAAATCTTTGATGCTCAAGTTGCGATAGTGGAACACAAGAGCATCATTTGCGCTGGTTACAGTGCGGTGATGCATATACACTGTGCCGCCGAAGAAATCACAGTAAAAACTCTGATCTGTTTAGTGGATAAGAAAACGGGTGAAAAGAGTAAAACGCGACCAAGGTTCGTGAAACAAGATCAAGTGGCGATCATGAGAATTGAATGTGCTGGAGTTATTTGCCTTGAAAAATTCAAACTGTTCCCTCAGATGGGACGATTTACCCTTAGGGACGAAAGTAAGTCATTAACATTTTTTGCGTAACTATTTTTTAATGTTAAAAACGAAAAAATGTATTTTCATTAAAAATTTTTATTTTTAGATAAGACGATTGCTATTGGCAAGGTGCTCAAGGTTGTTGAATAAATCTCCTTATTATCAACTGTCACTAAATAAAACAAGAGCATTTGAAAGTGCTGAGAGAATGAGAGCAACGATAGGAAATCGAACACTTGGTATATTAAAAGGAAAAACTTGAATACAATGGTCACGTTGAATTGTTCGTGAAACATTTGACACATGTACACATACACTGTCGCGTACGCACTTCACTCGACACCAATTTATACCTTTCTGATGAGATTTTTCGAATCCAAATAGGCAAGAGGTATATGCGATTTATATATTTTTCTTCAGCCAGCTCAATGCATGCTTGCTTGTATATTCGTTAAACAACAATGATTCTTACCCATTTGGAATCATTGTATTATTATTAAATTACTATAATTTCATTGAAAACATTACACTTGAGCAACAACAGTCCAAAATATAATATCAAATAGCTATCAATAGTTGTAAAATCGTCACAGCTGTTGTACTTTTTGACGTAACCTTGACTAAATTGATTAAATGCACGTACTTTGATACCATTGGATTTAAACCAATTAGTATTACCGTTTAGCATTTCATAAATCAATTATTTAGCTCTGAAAGAAATTTAATATTTTCTTTTACACCTATTTTCTTTAACTTTCATTAATTATCATGTTTTTGGTTATTGGCTCTTAAAAACCAAAAATTCTACAACCTGAAAAAAAAATATTTCTCATAAGCTTCATATAAATTTTCAATATTTTTTTTCTCCATAGATACAAATACACCCACAATACCTCCTGATCCGGTTGGGTTGCGAGATGAAGAACCACCAGCTGGAGGAGGAGCACCACCTCCTAACCTTTCAAATTCCGAATCGACAAATGCCAGCCCTGAACATCAGCCTGCAGATTCTTGGGAGGAAGCAGCAGTTGATGGAGATCCTCTTTTGACACCTGAAAATGAAGAGGTAAAAAAATTACATGATTATTTACGTAACATTTGCTAAATAGTCTTACATATCACACTTTCAACTGTACCCAAAAGATGAAACATTTTACAAAAGTTTTTAGTATACTGTCACATAACTATTGTTTAAAATATATTATTCCACCACTAAATTTATACATAAGTTGCATCTTTGAAGTATATTTTATAAATATATAATACTTTTCAGGTTGAGATTGAAGTTGAAGAAGATGAGGAGATAATTGTTAAGGTGCCAAAGAAGAAGCCAGTGAAGGTTGCAGAAGACACAAAGAGCAAAAAAGAGCATGTGAACGTTGTTTTCATTGGTCACGTAGGTAAGTGAAACATGGAATCATTTGGTAACACAAATGTAATGTAACAATACAGTTAGTGGTTTGCGCACTTTTTTTTTTTTCAACAGACGCTGGTAAGTCTACTATTGGTGGCCAGATTATGGCGTTGACGGGCATGGTTGACAAGAGAACGCTTGAAAAGTACGAGAGAGAAGCAAAAGAGCGAAGCAGAGAAACGTGGTACTTAAGTTGGGCGCTGGACACCAACCAGGAGGAGCGAGAAAAAGGCAAGACGGTCGAGGTCGGTCGAGCGTACTTTGAAACTGAGCGCAAACACTTCACAATACTCGACGCGCCTGGTCACAAGAGTTTCGTGCCAAACATGATCGGTGGCGCAGCCCAGGCTGATCTGGCTGTACTGGTCATATCGGCGCGCAAAGGTGAATTCGAAACTGGCTTTGACAGAGGCGGTCAGACAAGAGAACACGCCATGCTCGCCAAAACCGCAGGTGTCAAGCATTTGGTTGTGCTTGTCAATAAGATGGATGATCCGACAGTAGAGTGGGATGAAGTGAGATACAACGAATGCAAGTTAGTGCTGTAGTTCTTATTTGTACTTTAGCGCTTTCAAGTTACTGCTAATCCATCAATAATGATAATTATTATGTTTTGCAGAGATAAAATTTTGCCATATCTTCGAAAGCTTGGTTTCAATCCTGCAAAAGATCTCACATTTATGCCTGTATCTGGACAACTTGGAATAGGCTTGAAAGATCCTATTCCTGAAAGCCTTTGCACTTGGTTCAATGGTCCGCCTTTCATATCTTTTATAGATTCACTGCCATCCCTTAATCGCAAGAGCAATGGTCCTTTTATAATGCCTATAGTTAATAAGTACAAGGATATGGGTACTGTCGTTATGGGAAAGGTTGAAGCAGGTGAGGCTAAAAAAGGACACTCGCTACTCGTTATGCCAAACAGGGTAAGGCTTTAAAATTGAAGGAAAACTTTTTCCATACAGAGACACTTGACTGATTAGAGTTTTTTTTTTTTTTTTTTTTGGTTCTGGTCCCGCAGAGTTGTATCGAATGACGAGGAGGAGGAGGTAAGTTGATGTGCTTTTTTTCGGTGAGAACGAAAACAAGACTATTATTTTTCTCTCCTTCTCGGATTTCGATGGAAGAAAACTAAATTGAAGCATTTGATAATTCATGGATTGATTAATCAATTCATTGCTGGGTATGGTGTATATATGAAATTGAAAGAGTTGATAATCTTTGGCACCAAATATGAATAATATANTCTTATCGTTTCGAAACGGCTACTTACGCGAATCAAGCGTAAAATCTGATTATCTTGAGATATAGGATTGATAGTATGAAATTAGCGCAGCGCTTCTCTGCTGTACTACTGCGTTGGCCGCTGTATTTGCATCCATATCGTTTTTTCTCAATTCATACTTTGATAGACCTTTTATACTCGAGTATGATCATGCAGTTACTGAAAACTTTGCCGCAATTATTGCAGACTTCGTATTTATGTATTTTCTCTTTAAACAACAGTTCAAAATAACATACTGCTGCACTACGTTTTTCACTTTATATTAAAAATTGTTACAAAGTTCTGAGTGTGGTTGTCGTCAAAAGATAAACTTGGGTAAGTAAAGGCATTTTTTTAGCGTATAAATTTACGTGATGGCACGCGATTGAATTTAGCGAGTGAGCATGCACCGTTTGCTCGTAAAAAATACATAAATTCTGCTGGTATTTGGTGATTGTGACTACTCTTATCAGCTATTTTGCCGTATTTGTATACATATGGCTCGATCAATCTGTAATGGTGACGATTAAAAAAGTTAAATTAATTTTTTTTTTTTTTTTTTTTTTTTTTTTTTTTTTTTTCTCATTTTTATAATAATTTCAGTGGAAAGTTTATTAGAAGTACCTCCTACTGTTTCAAAAATAATTTGGGTACTAGCCTCTACAGTGCATCAAAGTGTTGATCCGTTTGTAAATAAATGGTTTTACAAAATGATAGTGACACTATTGAGTGGCGGTAGAGCGGCGATTGTAGTTAAACTTTTACACGAAGTTATTTTTGAAACGGAAGACGTTGATGAGGGAGCAAAAGCCGAGGAACATTACAGAGATGCAAAAGATGGACTTTATAATTTGGTACCGTGGTGGGTATTTGGTGTACATTCCAAGTGGTGCGATCTCATGGATTCGCTTCTAGAGCCAATTCAGAACGCTGCTTTTAACAAACACCTGGCTTATCTGTTGGTTGATCAACTATTGGTGAACTTGTTTCCTGAAGTTATGTGAAACTAATGTAAAAATTTTTGTATAATAAGTATGGTCGTTCAGTGCTGAAAACGAATGCACAGCAAAGTACATTTTTTGTCTGACAGTAAAAAAAAAACAAAAAAAAAAAAAAAACAGCATTTACTAAAGTGATATTTTTTGTAAGATGACGATTGCACTTTTTATTTAGTCAATCATTATTTCTTTACTTATGATGGAGAAAAGATTTTATAAATGTTCAAATAAAACATGGTTTATGTAAATATCAAACAAACATCCTATTTGAGCATTTTTTATTCTATGCTTGAACACCCTATAAAAAAAAAAAAATAATAATAATACCAGGAAATTGTAAATAATTGAAATAGTAATGCCATTGTAACAATGACTTGTATTTAAAATAATTTGTATAAATTTGTACATTAAATTATATTTTTATGTACATGCAAGGCAAGATAAAAACATTACAATATCTTAAGTATATCGTACACGATATGCTCTCGATAAGTTTATTTGAACGAAAATCAGTCTTTTGTGCAGGGATGTGCAATACTTAGTTGTAACAGTTAACGTGCCGTCTTAACCATCACGAAAATCCTTATTTAACTTGAGGATATACTACTTCAGGTGTGGGAAACTTAAAACCGTCAATTTTTTCTCGACAAAATTTGCTTAGCTAGAGTTTATATTTTCAAGTTAAATCAACAGTTAAAATTCATTTTTCACACCTAAAGTACTGTACTAGCGAGCGTAGACTACTAGTAATATCATAGAAATACGTAGCTACATTTGAGATGACCTGACTCAGAACCAAATCCGCACAAAACCAACTACATTGGTAAAAGCGCTCATACTTACACAGTTCTATTGATTTAAAAAAACACTGTGAGTTTTGTGGAGAAAAAGAGAGAAAGAAAGAGAAAGAAAAAAAAAAAAAAAAAAAAACCAGAATTTACATGAACTTGTTTGAGTGAGAGAGTCGTAAATTTAGACTCTGTACAACGAGTAATGGTGTTTACATTACAAAACTTGATGTCTCAATCGAGCTAGGTACAGACGTATATACCGTAGCAATAGAGCTTCCACGGTGAAATATTCTCCATTAAAAAGTTGAAGTGTCATTTATTTTTTCAAGCTTTATCCGACGTGTGCCTGCGCTCAGGTGCTCGGCCGGACAGCTCAAACTGTATGTCCTCGAGTGACTTGCCTTTGGTCTCAGGAACGAAGACAAAAACAAAGATCAAACCGACCAAACAGACGGCCGAGAAGAGCCAAAAGCAGGTATAGGTGCCGGCAAGTTTTTCCAGTGGTGAGTAATACTTGGTAACTACAAAAGCCATTAACCAGTTGAACAGACAAGCGCTGCTACCCGCCACACCTGATTGAACAAACAAACGATCGATGGATTACTTTTTCAATTAGCTTTTGAGAGTATATTAAGCCAACACGGGAAATATATTATGCACTGCACTGTGTATATATACGCACCTTTGATGGTGGGTGAAAAAATTTCGCCCATCATCATCCACGGTATGGGACCAAAACCGATGGAAAAGAGGAAAATAAAGGCACAGATGCAGAAGAGGGGCAGCCAGCCCGGGACTTCGTGGCCGGCGTTCTTGAGGTAGAAGTACACGCCGAGAACGAGGGTCGTTAGGAACATGGCGGTCTCGGAGGCGAGAAGGAGCAGACGCCTACCGAGACTATCGACGAGGAACGTGCTCAAGAACACGGCGACGACTTGGATGACGCCGACGATGATGGTCGCCGTGCTCGGGGCTATGGAGTCGGTTGCGCCCTCGAAGATGCTGCCAGCGTAGAATATCTTTGGAACGCAAAGTACGAATGGCTATATATATATATATATTCGTGTATTCATCTTATATTGTACTTAAATATATTATATAATACGTACACACATATTATACTCCGAGTCGTACATATGCAATTAATAAATAAACATTAATCGCTTGAAAAAGTATTGATGGTTCGATAATAATCTTGATGTGTTAATGAATAATCGTCCTTATATGGGTAAAAACAAAAGTGCATCGCGGACTTGTTGAGTATTTTGCAATGTAGATAAATAAAAAAAAAAAAAAAACTCTGTTAAAATGATTGTGATGATAATATATACTCGTGTGAGCGTGCGTGCGTGTACGTACGATGGCATTGACCCCACTGAGTTGCTGAAAGGTCATGAGCCCGAACCCGACGAGCAGCCCGCGTTTGGCGGCCCTGCTGCTAATGGCCTCGGCGAAGGAGACGCGGTTCCGCTCCTCCTCGGCCATGAGCTCCTGTTGCGCCTGTATCTCCGGCTCGACGTCGTACCGCGGGCCACGCAGCCTCCTCAGGCTCGAGCGCGCCGCGGCCACGTTGCCCTTCCTCAGGTGGTAGACCGGGGTCTCCGGCATGAAGAAGAAGACGCAGAAGAAGACGAGGGGCACCAGGGCCGACACCACCGAGAGCATCTTGATGGTGAGCAGGGGCCCGAGCACGTACGAGGCCAGAATCCCGGCCGTGAGCATGAGCTGGAAGTAGGAGCCGAGGGTGCCGCGGATGGCGCTCTCCGCTGTCTCGGCGGTGTAAGTCGGGGCGGTCACGCAGAACGCGCCCCCACTGACCCCGAGGATGAACCGGCCTATGTCGAGCATGAGCACCGACGAGCCGAATATGACGAGGAGCCAGCCTACGGTGAAGGGCGCGACGAGCAGGAGCATCGCCAGCTTTCGGCCCATGAGGTCGGACAGGACGCCTATGGGCACGCACACGGCGGCGGCCCCCAAGGTCATGAGGGACCCGATCCAGGAAAAGTCCTCGGGCGTGACGGTCAGCTCGTACTCGTTGGCGAGCTTGACCCCGTCTTTGCCCCCGGCGGAGGTCCAGCCGAGGACAAGACCGGCCGCTAAGGCCCCGAGGGTCGCGGCTACGCCCGCCAGGTACTGGGGCAGCTTGCTTGCCCGGACCGACGACGTGGACGCGTTGCCGTCGTGCTCGCTTCCCCCGTGGGAGACGAGCGTCTGTTGGGAGATGCCGATGTTCTTCTCGACCATGTTACCGCTGCTCGGAGTCGCCGGACGTGCGCCCAGGAGAGGCGTCGCCTCGGAATAATAACAGTTGTCCTGAAACATCAGTAATTTTTTTTTTTTTTTTTCACCCCTATTTCATTTCAACAGTGGACGTGCGGTTAATGATTGTTTGGTGATTTTAATCATGGTACGCACCGAATGGGATCGAGCACACATAAATTATAGAGAAATTTCATTATGCTAACAAAAAATTCTGTTTTCCGCGTAATCGTTAAAATAACACCACCAATGTTTTTTTTTTTTTACTGTTTTGGCATTTTTTATCTGCCGATCAAATGTTGCTAAAAACATTGATTTATTCAACTACTTGTTGCCTAGGTGCAATTAAGGCTTTGCTGAGCTGTTTGAGGCTTTAGTGAAAACAAAAACTGACGCGTTTACGGATATTGCGCTGAAAAATGCAAAATGGAAAAAAAACAATCTCAAAATAAATATACTATTGAGAATTTGTAATTTATGGCTCGTTATGGCCAAGGGTACGTCTGATATAACATATGCAGTAAATTTTATCAGGTCACCAAAATCCGCGATTAAATTGGCATTGTTGATTGGTGGAATGGTGGGCGTATAAAGCAGATGTATTGTATATACCTATTATGTAATGTGTATGTATGCCGTGTTAAAGCGTACGTATTTAGGTACGTATCTCATCAGGTATGTCTATCGTATACACACTCGATAGCGATTTATTGTTTTTTTTTTATTTATCCGTAACATATTCTTCTTTCCTAAAAAATTCATCGATCCTGATGAATTCACGGAGCAAGTTACGTGGTTTATGGCTATTCTTTGTGTGCATATCTTTATATAATATAGAATGGTACATGCATATATATGTATATGTATACGTATATGTACATACCGCCGAGAGATCGGCTGGAGCCTGATCAGCTGGTACGATGTCATTTTCGCCCAGCATGTTTGTAGCTCTTGAATTTTCATTACTCGATCCTCACCCCGAAATCAACACGTCAATTTTCCGATAGCGAGTTTAATTGATACAAATTTTACCAATGATAGGTACGCTTTTCTCGAGAATATACGTAAATTCGCTCTGTCACCCACTACTGGCCATTATAATATAATATACGCCAGTACGCGCGTCCGCGATATATATAGCCTAGTAGTACGCCTATAGGCTATAGCCCTCGTGTATGTGTGTGTAACATATATA